CGGCAATCCTTCCGCCTCAGCCTTCCGAGTAGCTGGAATTACAGGCGCGCGCTACCATGCCCGACTGATTTTTTAAAAATTTATTGTAGAGATGAGATCTCGCCAAGTTGCCCAGGCAGGTCTCGAACCCGCAAGGTCAGGCAATCCACTCACCTCAGCCTCCCAAAACGCCGAATTACAGGCTGAGCCACCAAGCCCGGCTTGTACCTTATTTAAACATCCAGACATCCACATCCACACACAAACAACATAAACACGCTTATTTTCATGTAACACTTTGATTTCTTTTTATTGTATACAAAATTCTCCACATTTTAGATAACCACTGGAAAACTTAAAGTAAGAAGAGAAAGAATGAATGAAAAACTTCCTTGGTGGTGACTGTAACTTCCACAGTGTGTCTACCTACTTTCTGATCCTCCCTGATCATTAAATTTAGGTAGATACACTCTATGGATAGATGAAGAATCTACTTACTGTGCTTCTTCAGAAGACTCTTGTTTTATTTTTAATGTTCTCTTTGTGACAGGTATTTCATCTGAAAAGCAAAGATTTTGAAACAAGTTATATTTTCCCAAGTGATGGCTCATATGTATGTAGATAAGTAGATATGTTGACTGCTCATTCCATACTTTCCAAGGTCAGGCCTTCATTCTAATGTCAAACACTGTCCAATGCCAGATTTATAAATATAACCCTTATATAACGAGATGCATACTTTTATATGCAAGATCAGAAACCAGCTCTACAAGTATAAAATTCTTCAAGGTCACCAGTGTATTTCTAGCTAGGAGCTTAAAGCTTAATTTCACTGCAAACATGATTTTAAAAGAACAAGAATGAAAATAATTCTTTTCTATTTAGATTTTCTATGTAGGTTTTACAGAGCAATTATCCTCCCAGTATCAGGATCAACATATTCTGCATGTTATTTTTTTCCTCAAAGGTTTAAGAGACTTAATTCTCTATGACAAAACCAATGTTATGGAATGCAAAAATATTTTAGACATTATTACTGTCTTACAATTACGTAGTAGTGATCACTTAGCATATCCCCTTTTTATTCTTCTAATCTTTAAGGCCCTCTCTTACATACTGTTAGACTTACAGTTTTATGGTCTCTTTCTTCTCTCTCTCTCTTCCAATATTTGATATGTGTGTGTGTGTGCTTGTATTTATATATATTTTTTAATTTTATTTTATTTTATTTTGGTAGAGATGAGGGTCTTGCTTTGTTGCCCAGGCCGGTCTCGAACTCCTGAGCTCAAGCCATTCTCCCATCTCAGCTCCCAGAGTAGTCAGTGCTCCAAGCATGTACCTCCAAGTAAGTTGGTTAATTTTCTTTTTTTCCTACAGATGGAGTCTCACTATGTTGCCCAGGCTTTTGAGAGATATTTTTAAACAGCATGCATTAAAAAATATATTAGCATGTAATCCCTTCTCTTTTGAATCAACATTTCTCTATCATCAGGAATTTTGTAAAAAACAGTGCCCATGGACTTTTATCATAAGCTAGGGTAGCCCATTTATACTGCCAATCCTACTCAGACTTCCTTGAGGTTGCCTGAGTACTTTACTGAGGAGAAAGAACATTTACTTATAAGTGAGCACTCATTACACAACTTGCTGTTAATATACAATATACAATGGCTGCAGCAGAAACTTAATTAGTACTTTCAAATTATAAAAATAAAAATTGGAATGTTTAATGTAAAAAGAAACAAAAAAAACTATACATATACTTAGTCATACAAGTTTAGATTGGATGGCCATGAGTTTTATTATTTTCCATATATATATATATAAATTTATTTATTTTTTCAGTCAGAGTCTCACTCTGATGCCCAGGCTGGAGTGCAGTGGCATGCTCATGACCACCGCAGCATCATGACCTGCTGGGCTCAGGTGATCCTTCTGCCTCAGTTTTCCAAGTAGCTGGAACCACAGGTGTGCGCCACCATGTCTGGCTAATTTTTTGCTTTATTATAGAGACGAGATGTCACCAAGTTGCCTAGGCTGGTCTCGAACCCCTGGACTCAGGCAATCCACTCGCCTCCACCTCCCAAAGTGCTGGAATTACAGGCGTGAGCCACCGCACCTGGCTTATTTTCCATTTTTAATATCTTTGACTGTGTATAATTCATTCAAGGTACTGTGGGATGGAATCCCCTTAAGAAGTCTGAAGGAGTATGATCATGGATACAGTTCAAATATCAGCTCTTTTCAAGGTAAATGGAGACCTCCCCTAATTTTTTTGTTCAGACTGAAATCTGGGAGAAGACCTTTTCCAAATCATAAACAGAAAAGAAAAAGTATTTGGGATAAAAGAAGGAAAAGATAATTACATCCGTAACAGTCATTTCAGAACTAGAGGGCACAGGATACTTAGAATTGTACAGAATGCTACCTGTCACTGAGCTTCTTTGTATAGCTCAGAATTAGGAAATCGTCTGTGTCTTTAGGAATTTTGGTGTTATCCAAAGCACCAAATGACTAACACCAAGCACTACCTGGCATTTTAAGGTTAAACCAAGGATATCCCTATTGCCCCAAATAGAAGGACTATATTCCGGTGCTGACCACTAGGTTGGAATGGTACCAGACAATATTTACATATAGTTAAGTACCAGTACACATATGAAAAAGTACATAATTACACGCAAATATGAGTATAATAGATAGGCTTTCTTACCCAATTCCTGATCTGTTGGATAGCCGTGGAGATCCTGACTGTGGTTTCCCCAGTCCTCCTGTGAATAGTCCTCCATAGTGCTGCCATCTGACTCCAGCTCCTGGTACAAGCCACTACTGTTAATAAGTACAGGCTGGCAGGGCTGAGCATCCCATCCTCCCTGACCAAACACCTGTTCCAACTGTTCAAATGTGTAACTGCTCTTTCTTTTCCCAACACCATGTTCTTTCACCCGACTGTAACACCTGCGAAGGGTCTAAGACACAAAGTCTTTTGTTATTCCTTTAAAGCTGTACTTCCTCTTCCAGGCACGGACCACAGATATTAATTACTATTAGACAGACACAGACAGACAAACATAGACACATTGTTACAGGAATGCTAGATTTCAAATTCATTATTATATTAGAAAAAAAATACTAATTTAGCATTTACTCAAACATGTTATAATTCAAACAATTATTTTGCAATTAATTATCCATTAAACAACAAGAAACATTACAACATTATTGCATATACCCCATACACATATTTTTATACCCCCACCCCCATTTAAAAAGAATAAGGGGGAGGGGAAAAACAAGAAATACCAGCCAGCCAATAGGATGCACACCTGCCACAGAAGAGAGAGAGCTGCTATTGTGCCCAGAATTTGGAAAAAGTGAGGGAAGGGAGGACAGAAAGAAGAATTTCCCAAAGCAAAGAATACCTTCCTTACTCTTTTAAGAAGGAATACAGGGTAAAAACAATTGCCTAAACAAATTAGCTCGTAAAACATATTACTTACATAGTCTGTATTCCTTACTAACACAGTCTTTGTGGAAGTTGCTAAAATTTAAAACAGAGGTCAAATCAATAATGCTACAAATTCCCAGTCTCTAACATCAATTGTGAAGAAACAGTACACAAATACCTACATCTAGAACTAGACAATTTACCAGTCTATTCTACCAACTCAAACTGCCAGCTAAACAAACCAACAAATGAGGCCAGTAATCCTTTTTTGGTGGGGGCCAGGGGAGAGGGGTGTTATTTCACTTCTTTTTCTGCCATGTAGCACACAACAAACAAATATCATTATGCAAGTCCACAGATAAGACCTGGGTAATTTTATTTCGTACAACCCTTCAATTTTTTTCATGGTCTTTATTTCTAACACATATTTCCGATTGTTAGCCCAGTTTCCTGAGTTTAATGGTACATCTTATCTCATCTTAGATGGTATTTCAAAAGATAAATCAAGGACTTAGTCCCAGCTTTCAAATTTAGTGTAGTTGCCTTCAGTCTCTATTCTATCTCTGCCTCCCTTTGTTCCTTCTAATCTCTCCTCTATTTTAGTGAGTTTCACTCTGAGAATTTTCTTAAGATAAGACCCCTTTTTCCTGGTGACTCCCAAATACTTTCTAACTCAACTGTGCAAAACCAGTTCACCTTAGACTTAATTTATAGGCATTTCCAGACCATCAATTTTTCCTAAATGAGAGATTATTTGCCATAAGCCAATATGTTAACTGTTCTCAACAAACTAAAACAACTCTTACTCTGTCTAGTCTCCATTAAAGTTCAGTATCTTTAAATCACAGTTGACAATCCACAAGACACTCTGTCAAATACTTTTTAAATCTGTTCCTCGAGGCCAGAAATACAGATGAGTAAAAGAAATAATAAAAGCATAACACATGATGATCCTCCTCACATATCAACAGAGCAGTGATGAGAGTCTCCCACCCTAACGCCAGCCAACAGACTCCCTGAACAAGCACTTGTCTCATTCTCCCTTTCTTGAGTTCTCTTCTGGAGCCTCAAATGACATCTTAGAGAACTGAGGTTTCTGATAATACACTTTTTAAAAGTGTTGCTTCTTTCTCTTTGTTAAAGATAGTCACAATTACATAAGACAAACTTTCTAGAATTAACCAGAAATATGAATTTGGGAAATGTGTGTCGGGGCAAACCTTCCAATGGAAGGAGACAAATGTCTACAGTAGATCTCATTTGACTTTCTACATACTCCTCCTTTCCCAGTGCCCTCTGCCCTCCATGCAGGGATTGGAATTTGAATTGCAAACATCCCCTGCCAATTTATTTTTATCTCACAATGTCTAGTTTCTGCCTCCAAGAACACCCCAACCACACTTTTCAACTTTCCAAGGACCATAAATGGAGAGTCCCAACCGTACTTTCACCCTTCCAAGGCCATAAATGGAGAAGGAAACCATGCCACTGCACATTACTTACTAGCTGCCTAGAGAAAAGCATTCAGCACACAAAAGAGTCCAGTTGGCTCTGTCACTGAGGGTGATTTCAGAAGTCAAGGAATAAAACTAATGTTCCTTTGAGGCAAGGTGCCACACTTATCAGGAAGTGACAGGTCTAAGCAACGTCACCAATCTTTGACAATGTACATGGCAGGAAACCACAGAATAGACTCTTACTCTCTTTGAAACCACCAGATTGAGCTTAAAATTTCACTTGACTTATGTAATTGTGAATAAGGAAACTAGCAATATCTAATGGTTATAGATATGGAAGAATCGTCACATGATATATTTTACATTTCATCAAAAGAGGCTAACAGATCTTGCCACCTCTTATTTTGTAGTGTACTTTTATAATACACTTTTAGAGTACAATATGCTGATACATCAGCTCTCAGGTGCCTGAAAGAAAGATGTTTGGTAACTTATAAATCCATAAGATAGAAATTTGGTGTATTAAAATAATACAAAAATAACTCTCTCAAGATATAAATACACATAAGACTTCTGGGTTCCATAAAGACCACAGATCCAAGGAAACCCTGTTTAAATAGGATGCATCAACTTAGGGGGAAAAAAAAGAACTCAAGCATTAGCTTGACAGCTACTGTTAGAAACACTAGTATCTAGTTAAACTTGAGAGAATTTGAAGATGGATAAAAAGGACCTGTGGAGACCTGCCAATTCTTATCGTCCATAATAAATCAAAAGGTAACACATGCCACACTAAATGATTAACCATAGCACAGAATTAAAAGACTGTGTGTCTGTGCCAATAGTCCTAAATAAACCAACTCAAAAACCTACTCTAGATCTGAGATTACAATACAGTTACAGAATCTTGGAAAAGCGAAGTCTACCTTCCATTTCAGACAGCTACCAAATCCGACAAGAACTTCCATTTGGCTTTCTTGAAGAACCAGGTCCTATTCAGCACAAAAAATCTTGCTTCCCTTCCTTCTTTCTTTACTTCAGTCATCTTAGAATTTTGTAGTAACTTAGGCTCTAATAGTTTTCTAAAAACGAAGATCTCAGGGGATAAATTCCTGGGGGGGGGTGAAATTTGCTTAAAATAATTAAAAACGATTCTATTCACAATTAAAAATAATTTTCCTGTCAGAAATTTTCCTGGTAAGTCAACGTTATGCTCTTGTCTCTTCCCCGGAGGAAGAGCTATGAAACAATACTGTATCTTAAACGAAACCATAGAGATAGAGATCAGGAGAAGTGAAGAAAATTTGGATAGAGAACTAAAGTATAGGTAACAACTGGATCAGGTGGTCAAACCAGAGGAGTTCATGGGTATTTGATTTGGAAGAAATGCCAGGTGAACGCTTACTAAGTCCACCATGCCAAGTACTTAATGACTACAAAAGGAAAAGAACCAGAGAAAAGACTCGAAAGACAACCCATTACCAAAGCAGGGAGAAAAATAAGATGGCTGACAACTGACAATTTATAGGACAGGGTAAAAGTTTTGCCAAAGTTTAAGATTAGAGTAAAAGGAAATGAGAGAATAAAAAGATGACATTCATTGTGGATGAATGTATGGGGAGTCTATGCAGGAGGAGGGCAGGTAAACAAAGGCAGGAATTTTAGATGGGCAGGATTGGGGGTTTAACGGCAGCAATGCAGAGAAAGACCCAGGGTTACAGTACACGTAACATTAAATACAGTGCACAATGCAGCTATCTTGCCAAAGTAAGTAAATCCAGTATTGGGTTGTATAAGCAGAGGAATCACATGTAAGCTATGAAGGTGGCTCTTCCTCTCTATTCAGCACCGGTGAGGCCACAGCTGGAGCACAGCATTCAGTTCTGGGCATCGAACCAGCTACAAGAGAGGGAAATTGTAGAGTTCAGAAAAGGGCAAATAAAATAATGAAAGGCTTGGAAAATAAGATCTATAAGCAGGGTCAGTGGTTTCATCAAAGCCCTTCCTGACATTATCTAAACTACATTTGGGTTAGATACTTTTGAGATTATGGTTTCTTTTGCTTCAGTGTCCTCCAATCCCTCCTTTGACTTTTAGGAAGTAGGAAGAATTAAATTCTTCCCTGGGATGGCAAAGTAGGAAGCAAACTAAATGATTCTTAAGGACATATGCCAACCAATTCCAGTACTGGCTCAATAATTTTCTCAAAATTTGCCCCATTTCATACAATCATAAATAATCACTATGACAAAACCACTGCTCTAGCTAACTAACCATAAGTGGAACAAAGCATATAATGAGGAGGAATAGAAATAAGGCATAACAGCTATATAAATGTGTTTAGAAAACATTGTCTTGATCAGTCTAAGACGTCAGATGAAAAATAAAGTCAACCTGCAGGGAGGACAGCTTAGTTATAACAGCAGGAAACAATGTTATAAGAAAAAAACAAGCAGTGAAACAGATTTTCAAATGTAGTTGTCAAAATGGCCATAATAGAAATGAATTACATAGTTATCTTAATGCATTGCCAACTAAACATGATAAATTTGAGATTCCTTTCACCCAAATGATTACATAAAGACTACACTTATTTGAAAACAAAGCCTTAAAAGTCACATATGCTCCACAAGAGATGGGCAAATTACACTGGGAGTAAACCACCAGTGACTTATAAAATTGTTAAAAACAATATCTCAGACTAAAGCAGATGTGTATTTTGAAGCAACAAACAAATCTTTCTTACTCCTTTAAATTAAAGCTACTGCTATTGTAACTTACAACTAGTTACTCTTAGTTCATTGAGGCAACAAAATAACACCAAATTTATTTTAATATCTTTAAGAAAAACTCAAAATTTCTTTAATTAGTTATATTTTGTTACTGTGAGCATAAAAGTAAGAAAGAAATATCTTAAATAGCATATATAAGTAAAAAAACACATTTCTGCCCACAGTAAGAGGATATTAAGAATGTAGTATACATTCCTAGTCATATCTTTTGACACAGAGCTGTAACTAATAATTAAGAAGTCACCTAAGGCAATGTCCATCTGGGGTCAGCAGAACTTTTACTACCTTTTTTCTTAGGTATTCTGTTAATGAATATCTGACAAACTGACTTGCCAATAATGTAAAACCTTAAAAACCAGACAAAAAATCCACCAAAATAAAACCAAAAAGAAAATGTAGCAAACTTTTTTCACACTTAGTGCCATAGAGCAAGCTCTGGCAAGTAAAAAAAATATTTTTATTCTTAAATCTTTTGCTTTTCCTTTTCCTTTCTGGGGTAGAGGTTCTTAACCTTTCTGGATGGTGGATCCACTCCCCAGAAAAATGCACACATACACAAGCTGTCCCATATAATCGCAAAAGGACACATGGACTCACTCAAGAGCCTACAAAAGAACTTCAAATTTAAAAACTCTGCTTTATATTATATAGTTTTCTCCTCCATAAAATAATATGTATTAGTCTGAAATCCTAAAATAAGGCAGACTTAATTTGTGCCTTAAGCTTTACGAGAGATTTTCAAGACTAAGACAACCAGTTTAAGTACAATTACCAGCTTGTTCAGTATCCCGTGCACTTAGATAAAACAGCATTAATATTTTCTTTATTAGCTAAATTCTCCTGTTTCTTGAAGGAAGTAATTTCTGTCAATAAAAGCATACAGGATATTGCTTTACTCTTCACAAAAATATGGCACTTTTTTCCATCTGCAAGATATCTTTTTCTGAAGTGACAATTTAAGCCACATTAAAAGATCCATTCATTAAGCTGATTATCAGTTACAACTGTATCACACAGTACTTGATCATTCATTATCTGATTGTGTTATCAATATAAGGTGCTAGATAAATTACCTAAGGTAACAAAACAGGGAAATTCATCTATTCTAAAACAAGTATAGGAAAGTAAATCTTGACTACCTTTTTCGTCTCCATGGCTAAGCCGTCACCATCTTCCAGTTTTAACAATGCCTAATGAGCCAGACGCAGTGGCTCACACCTGTAATCTTAGCACACTAGGACTGCCTTGAGCCCAGGGGTTCAAGAACAGCCTGGGCAAATTGGCAAGACCTCATCTCTACAATAAATAAAAAAATTAGCCAGGTGTGGTAGCGCACGCCTATAGCTCCAGCCCTTGGAAGGCTGAGGTGGAAGGATCACCTGAACCCAGCAGGTTGAGGATGCGGTATACATGCGTGTGCCACTACCCTCCAGCCTGAGCAAGAGTGAGACTCCTACTCAAAAAAAAAAAAAAAGACTAATAACTGAAAGGGGATTGAAAGGGGATTGATTAGTGTGACTCCAATGGGATTAGTCCAATCAATTACTAAAACTGTTCCTATGATTATCATCAATGTCTTCTTAATAACTTTGTCCTGCCCTCATTTGACTTCCCTGCAGCACTGGGTATTCTTCATCACCTGTCCATATCATTGTCCTTGCCAAATTTCTCTGTATAAAACTTTCCATAATATATTGATACACTAGGGGTGGTTGGAGCTGACCAAGTCTCCAATTGCAAACTAGGCTCTAGTTTCTGAAATATTATAGAAGTTTTGAATGGAAAAGAATCTTAAAGATCATCATGTTCATTTAAATGAGGAACCAAGGCCAAAAAACAAATAAGCATTCCTTTAAAAGAGATATGGCATATGAAAATTACCAAAATGCCACTCATCAAATTTTAATGTTTCCTAAGAAAGCTATGGCATTATATTGTAAGCTCCATAAGGTAGGGGTTTTACCTATCTTATGTCCACTCCCCTATGCCTAGAACAGTGCCTATCACATAAGAATTATCAATATTATTTACTATAAATTAAACTAATTTTAAAGTAGTAAATCACTTGCAAGAGGATTAAATTTTTCTTAACAAAGAAAATCAAAAAATGTACTGCTTAACTAAAATAGTTTATATTTAAATCTTGGTGGTAGGGCTCTTGAAAACTTTTGAAAAGGAGAAAAATATATAAAACAGATACAGCTATAATTTTCAAAGTAGAATAATTTCTTTATAAGAGAGGAGAACTAACTGCAGCTGGCAAGGCTATACTTAAAGTATCTACCATTCTTGTTGTTCCTTTAGGGGCATGCCCTACTAAAGGGAGCTCTGCAGCCCTGTCCAAATTTTTTGCCTTACAAACTAAACAGTAAAATATTCAAGAATATAAGGTAGTTCTGTCAAAGATAGAAAGGGGAAAAGATTCCATTGTTTCCTGATTTTAATTGGGTCAAATAGAAGAATGACCACCACAAACAAGAGGGCTTACCTCACTGCAGCCGCAGTCTTTGTGGGAACTGCTCAGGATTGAATCCTATCAGCTTTACACTTCATGCTGAACCTGACTATCAACAACTCACTCACTTTGTGTTTATAACTGGTCAGTTCTGTCTTCATGAGGAGTGATTCTTGCATAGAATATATAATTCAGGAAATTTTAATTCTCAATAAACATCAAGTCCTAAGTTTTCCATGCTCCTTCAGGCTAGCAGCTGAGGGTCTTACCCATTCAAATTGCTAAGGAAAAAACCCTCAAAGAGGACAATACTAATTGTCAAAAACAAACATCTTCCATAGATCAAGGAACTAAGTCCATGTAATCATGAAGCTTTTAACCCTAGCCATGTGTACTTAACATGAACACTCATACAATTATCTCCTGTTAGCAATACTCTATAAAAGCCATCCCTAGTATGCATGTTCATGTACAAGGGCTTCCTTGGGACATGAGAATCCTCCTAGACATGAATTTCTCAAGTGCCTCTTTATTTAGAACAAGACAGTCAAAAAGTTAGGGTATACTGAACTACTTGTCTCAGATATAAGCAGCAATAGACAGCTATAGTCACTGAAGACAAGCAGGTTTGTCTAGAACTTCCTCCTCACCTGAAAGGGGAAAAAATCAGTTGCTGGTAAATAAGTGACTCGGATCAGAGGTTATCTTCATTTGACCTTCTATATCACCTCTGAAGTTGCTATGTCAGCACCTCTGAATGTTTTCCTCAGTATCTCACACCTTGAGAGCACCACCTCAAAGTGATATTCAGATACATTTTAAAAGTTGTTAACATTTATTAGTATGTGATATCTAAAAAAATATGTTCAAGAAAATTATCTAAAATATTTCTGGCATAGCAGAGGAGAACCATTCATCTTTAAAGTCCTCCCAGATGCCCTCCCAATGTGTTTGTTCCACAAACAAACATGTCTAAAAATTAAGAACCTCCTACCCCTGCCCCTGCCACACACTCAACCAAAAATCCTCACTCAGCTTCATCATTAAAACATTGTATTGCTTCCCAAATACAAAGGTACCTTCCATTTGTGTGACCAATGTTTAGAAGGGAAGTTGTCCAAAGCAGGTTTTCCCCTGGAATAGTAGGCCACTTTATTCCTTTCATATGTTGACCATGTGGTTCAGTTTTATCGTTATTTCTTACTAAAAACTACCGTCTGTAATGCAAAGATAACCTATAGTAGAGAAGTTTTCCATTGGTAAATTTTACACATTTGGTAATGAAAAACAGAATCCGGATATTCAGATAAAATCATCTAAAAACTAAGATAATTAGAAATCTTTCATCAAAACATCTGGGTACAAAATTAAATCATAATTTATTTAACTGTGAAAATGTAAATATTACAACATTTCTTTTTCATTTACACAGTGTAAACTACAGATTCTAAATGCATGAAAAGAACACTCCATATTCTGACACATACCCATTCTATGAAAAACCTGAAAATAAGCATTTTTAAGTTTATTGTAACCAGCCATCCTTGGACAGTCTGAACTTATAGAGGAAGCTATTAAAAAGACATTCAGGCAGTCACAATGTTACTTTTAAAAATCATTTTGTAGGATTTTTATATTTCATTTGTAAATTT